ACACACCCCCACACCCCCCCCCCCCCCCACACACACACACACACAGCAGCCGAGCGCGGGAAATCATCGCAACACACACATCACGTGACCGACTCACCTGAGCCCGCAGGTCCGCGTCATCGCGCTCCTCTGACGCGTCCATCTAATTCAACACATGCATCGCTGAGCTGAGAAGAGTTAAAGACACAGTTACAGTCTTTCTGACTCGTTCATATGTATAACCACATACTGCAACTATCGACCGAGGCAGTAGAGAAGTACAGTCATGTGTTCAAAGTGTCAGATCTTACAGCAGGAAAAACTCCAAAACAACTCACGCGCAAGAGCCACTCACAGCACTTCCGGGTTAGAGCTTAGTCACGTGGGCACCACGTTTTTGAATATTGTTTTTGCATCATTTGAATATTAAAATGATAGGATAAAATAATAATTTTTATTATTTATTACATTGAATAAATTTAATAAGTATATATATATATAGCTACATTGAATTGTTGATGTTTAAATAAATACATTTTATATCTGATCATTAATTTGATAGAATAAAGTATTATATATAGTTACTATATTTCTGTGTCTGATTATTAATGTTATAACATTACATTTAGTCATGTAGCAGATGCTTTTATTCAAATCGACTTGCAAATGAGGACAATAGAAGCATCTGTATGATTATTTTATTATCATCATTAAACAAACTGTCTGCTAAATGGCTAAATGTAAATGTTTTTGATTATTAATGAAATCATACAAAAAAGTCAATATGTTTGATAATAAATATTACGCTAATTCTACTTATTTTAATAATGCATTCAAATGATTATATTATTATTATTATATTGTAAAATAATGTTTCTTTTATCACTAAATTAATATATTATATATATATCCTTCTTATTATTAAATGCGATACCTTAATATATATATATATATATATGCTGACAATGATACTTATTTTATAGTTTAAACTGTAAAATATTATTATTTATAATAAAGTTGTGTTTATTGTCATATCTATCTCTCTCTCGCTCTACGGCGATGGACGTCGAAATAACGCTAATGAGCCAAGCCCCACTGCCAGCCAATGAAAACACGGCATTCAAAAGCCTCACCAATCAGCCACTAGCAGAGAGTCGCCTCATTAATTATTCATGACATGCCAATGTTGTTCCAGCTCACGCGGGCTGGCGGCGGAGAACAACACGCCGCGAACGAGTGAAGATCGTCGCCATGGCGACAGCGATTTATCTCGAACATTATCTCGACAGTGAGTACAATTCATTTCGGGAGCATCACGCTGGATTCAGCCGCTTTTTAGGCGGGATGAAGGCGTCTTAAAAGGCCCAGTTTGAGGATGTTTTGGTGGCTAATGTCAGATTAGCATTAGCGAGCTGCAGCTAGTAACGTTAAGACAACAGGTTGATTAGCTTCATGTCGACTCTATGAAACTGCGCGAATCTAATGTATTCTTCTATTTAGTTGTTAGGTCATTATATACACATCTGCTGTGAAGCCACGGCATGTTGTAAACACAGGACAGAAAGTAGTAGTTGTTAGCCAGCATGCTAACAACATGCTAAGTCAAATGTTGTTGTAGTGTAGTGTGTGTATGGACAGAACACGTGTGTGTTTAATATAAACAGAGCGGTTTCTGTATGTTTCTGCTTCAGAATAAAGAGAGGACAGTGACTGACTCGATCCAGAACTTTCCTCCTGCATCTAAACAACATATTAAGTGATGAATGTGTTTATTTCATGACCCTAGGCATTGAAAACCTGCCCTGTGAGCTCCAGAGAAACTTCACACTCATGCGGGAGCTGGACAACAGAGCCGAGGGTGAGAGGACTCTCTGATCCGGGTGTGCTGTCTAGCTAGGGAGCATCTCTGGGCATCATTGGAACATTAAATATGAATCACAAAACAACACAACTCGGGTGGAATGGTTTTTATGTGAGTACGTGACAGTTTCTTCTTCTTCTGTTGCAGAAAAGAAATGTGAAATCGATAAGCTCGCAGAAGAGTACATTAAAACCGTCCGAAACCTGGCTCCGGATCAGAGAGTGGAGCACCTGCAGAAGATCCAGAGCGGATTCAGCAAATGCAAAGAATACAGCGACGACAAAGTGCAGCTCGCCATGCAGACGTACGAGATGGTGAGTAATCCAGCTTAGACGCGAGTGACTTTTAAAACCAAACCTGGAAATATTCTTCACCTTGACTTTACTTTCAGTCATTCAGCAGACGCTTTTATCCGAAGCGACTTACAAATGAGAAACCGTTATTAAAGCTAAAAGCTAAAGCTATATATATATATACACATATATACACACACATTTAAGAAAATAAAAGAAATTAAATAAACATGACAAATGCATACAACGCCATTTCAAAACTAAACATTTAAATGAAAGCAAAAAAATATGAAAAGAACAAAAGGTATTAGAGTATAATAATGATTCTAACATAACACTAAGCCAAACACCAAAAAACAACTACATGTGTATGTACAGCCACACACACATACACACATATACATGTATATAAATACATGCAATATATATATATATGACTTCATTTCCATTTTGTATGTTGAAGTACTGAAATAACTCAAATTAAGTAAAAAACCTATATAGACATAATAAAAAACTAATAAAATGACAACATTACTACAACTGTAAAATAGATAACTAATACAATCAAACTACAATTTAGTAATCCTAAAAAAAAAAATTTATATTATTATTATTATATTTTTTAATTCATTAATGTGAATTAATTTGTGATTTCAGGATTTGCTATACTGAAAATGCCTCTAAATGTTTATTGTTGGCAAAAATCATAGAATAGGCTATTTTTTTTCTTGTAGTAATCATAATTTTCTGTTAATTTTTATATTCAGATCTGAAATATTTAATTGAGTAAAAAATGTTTTGATGTAAAAAATCATAGATTTTTTTTAATAGTAAATATAATTTTATGTGTTTTATACTCGGCTCTAAAATATCGAGTAAAGACTTTTATTGTCAAAAATCATAGAATTTTTATTTATAGTCAATAATAACGGTCTGTGTCTTATACTCAGCTCTGAAATATATTTAATTGAGTAGAAATTGTTAAAAATCATTAACATTTTTAGAGTAAATATCATTTTCTGTATCATATACTCGGCTCTAAAATATTAAATTGAGTAGAAAAGTTTTATTGCCAAAAATCATATAATTTTTTTAATAGTAAACAATGATCTATTTTATACTCCGCTGTAAAATATGTAATTGAGCAGAAACTGTTTTATTGTCAAAATGATACAGTAGGTTTATAGTAAATATAAAATCTATATTTTACACTCATTGAGTAGAAACTGTTGTATTCTCAAAAATCAGATTTATTCAATATATTTTTGTATTTTATACTCGGCTCTAAAATATTTAATTGAGTAGAATTTGCAATTGATAAATGCAAATATGTATATGATTTTTAGTTTAACTTCATTTAGGCAATAAATACAATTTTGTTTTGACATTTTAACTCGAAATGAAAAGGAAATTAGACTAAAGTATTTCTTGCTCTCTGAATCATGATAAACAGAAAGATGCTTATAAATAAATAGTCAATGACTAATGTGTTGAAATAGTTTGATTCAAATACATTCATTTTGTTCTTGGTATTATTATTAAACATAACGTGAGCCTTCTCTCACCAGGTGGACAAACACATCCGAAGGCTGGATGCCGATCTCGCTCGCTTTGAGAATGAGCTGAAGGAAAAGTTGGACGTCAGTGGCTACGAAAGTCCAGACAACAGAACGGCCAAGAGTAAGACAGACTGTGGCTTGATTTGGCCAAATATAACATGTGTCAACATGATGTACGAGGAGAATAAAACCCAACTGCTGTCCTTCATAGAGGTAGGCGGTCGAGGAAGCCTGAAGGAAAAACG